TCCAAACATTTTTCTGTGATTTGTTTTTAATTTAATTCCATTGGAGTCAACATACTCTGTTTAATATTAATATTTTTAAATTTATTAAAACTTGCTTTATAATCCCGAATATGATTTATCTTGATAAATATTTTGTGTTCTTGAAAAGAATGTATATTCTGTTGTTGGGATGACTGTTCTGTAATTATCAATTAGATCAAGTTGGTTGATAGTACTGTCCAAGTCTTTTAAGTCTCATATTTTTATTGATTTTCTGCCTACTTCTTTCAGCTAATACAGATGCCTTATTGACCTTATTTTTCTCATTTATCCTCAGACTGATAAAAACCTCCTCATGGGCACCACTTGTCCACATAGTCATGCTGGATGCCTACAGGTTTAATATCTATTCTATTAATCATGCACTCAAAAGACATAGTTTGAGTATCCACTAAAATCTAGGCCCTCTACAAACCACTGGAGATACAGAAAGAAATAACACAGTTCCTGCTTTAGAGAAGTTTGGTCTAATGAAGTGTAGGTACAAAATTCCTAGCCACAAAGATTCTGGGGTGCTTTCTTCTCCAGATAAGATGTTTACATTGCCATGTCTTCCCTCCTGCCTACCCTTTATCTCCCTGCCACATCCAAAGTTGGACTTGCCATGTCTCATTACTCAACTCGCTACACCAAGTATCCTAGAGGCTACCTTGTTATCAAGGTTCCTGCCAATTACAAATGTCAGTTTCAATAATTAAGTCATATTTGGATTTTTAAAGTCTTTTTCCATGCCTTCCTTTTTGTAACAGCTTTATAAGATGTAATTCACATGTCACACAATTCAGTCATTTAAAGTATACAATTAAGTGGTTTTTAATATATTCACAGTTATGCAACCATAACCACAATCAATTTTAGAACATTTTCACCACATCAAAAAGCAACTGCATACCCTTTAACTGTCACTCCCTAGGCCCCCAAAGCCCCAGTCTTAGACAAACACTGATCTACTTTCTGCTTCTGTACATTTGGACTTTCCTGGATGTTTCACATAAATAAAATCATAAAACATATGATCTTTTGTGACTGGCTGCTTCTTCCATATTATAACATGTATCAGTACTTCATTCCTTTTTACAGCAAAATAGTATCCCACTGTGTGGATATACCACATTTTATTTATACATTTACCCAACTGATGAACATTTGGGTTGTTCTCACCTTTGGTTGTTATGAGTAATGTTGCTATGAACATTTATGTACAAATGTTTGTGTGGACATATATTTTTATTTTTCCTAGGTATGTACACACACACACACACACACACATACACACACGAGTAGATTTGTTGGGTCAAATGATAACTCTATGTTTAACTTTTTAAGGAACTGCCAAACATTTTTTCCAGTGTGGCTGCACCAGTTTACATCCCCACCAGCAGTCTATGGAGGATCCCAAGTTCTCTACATTTTGATCAGCCCTGTTTCTTATCTAATCCCATACCTTTTTGATATGAAATCTAGCCTCTTTTTTTGCCTTGGCTCCTCTTTACTTATCTTCTGCATTTCCCCTTGTTCTCTAGACATACATGATTCTTGAGAAATTGATCTCTTTACTGGCCCCATAACACATCATGTTTATTCCTAATGTGGTATCTTTGCCCATGCTGTTCCACGGTTTTTAACACCTTCCCTCCCTCTGTCCTTTCCCAGCCAAAATATTTACTATGCCTCAAGCCTGCATTGATCATTTCAGCCCTTTTTAATTTCTATCTCCTCTGAGTTTCTCTGTACTTAGAGATGATACCCCATCAGTTAGCAGTTACCTGTATTTTATCTTGTACTGTTTACTGCTTCATTGAATATTTATGTCTTGTATTTTATCCCCTAATCCATATGAAAACTCTATGAGGTGGGATAACCATGTCTTGTAGTTCTGCAGCCCAGTTCAGAACACACAGTGAATATTTTGTAAATATTTCCTAGTTGATTTATTCCAATAGTATAAAAATCCAGTCTTGTGAGTTTTTTAATGAATACTTAGAAACTTTAAGAAAATGATTTTTGATTGTTTCTCCTTTGAAGTTAGGATTATGGTGGAAATCTCCAGCCCATGCCACCAATAATGCAGAAGACTTGTAGCCAGGGATGAGCTTTAAGTCACTTGTCTGTCCAGTCTGACCAGTGTGAAAGATGACCAGCTAATTATGGAAGGATCTTGTTCAGTTCCCCTCCCCACTTCTACCTTGATGCCAGGAGAGTTCCACTGCAGAGAACTAGTGGACAAAGGAGAGAAGCAGCTTGTTGCCTGGCATGTTAAGAACCAAGGAACTGAAACCTAAATAGGAGGAAGAAATGTATGCTAACTACTACAGCTTTACCACTATATATGCATTTCAATAAGGATGTGTTACTGACCTCTGACAAATATTTGCCACGGACACTGTAAGCAATTTATATTAGAGGTGTAGGATGGTGTTGTAGAAAAGCCATATTCAACCCCCAGCTCCAGCACTTAGTGGCTGTATGACTTTTGCAAATGTCTTGACCTTTCTCTGCCTCTGTTTCATCATCTAGAAAATGAAGATACTAATAATTCTAATCCATAGAGGTGTTGTGAGGATTAAATGACATAGTGCGTATTAAGTATTAGAAGAGTGACTGGCACATAGGAAGTACAAATAAGAGGTAGTTTCCTACGTCTTCACTTTTCTCATCTCCTTTTCCACATGTACAGATACATGGCATGTGGACAAGATAGTGGAAACTCTATGATTAGGATGAAACATTTGCACTGACAAGTCATGGTAGGTACATGGGCTCAAAGTATAGAGGGCTTTGGAAGCTACCTGGAGAAGTTTGAAGCACATTTTATCTGAGTCATGATAGGTCCCCAGCAGGAAGTGGGAGGGGCATGATTACGGCATGGAGAAGGATGAGCTGGCCATGTCAGAAAGGCCCCCGAGCTGCTAAGAGCAAGGTTTCGAGCAATGCAGGAGGAGGGGCAGTATTAAAGAGCAGAAGAACTGCATGTTCCTCTGAGGGCAAGAAGAATGTGTCAGGACAGGGATGTGTTGGGGTAGAGACAAAAGGATGTACACCACTCTGGGTAGGAGGAAGTCAGGTCACCCCAACAGTGAGGAGGGATAGGAAGTGGAGGTGGAGGTAAAAGAAAGGAGCATGTCTAGAACACCTCCTCTCCACTGACTGCCTTAAGGCCTCAGTAAAAATGAAGGCAAACAAGGTTGTCAACCATCAGAGAAGGTGAGAAGTCACAGGAGAAGACACAAACCCTTAGTAAGAGGCATTCTCCATCTTTTTTGAGGATGGCTCAGCAGTTGGTTGCAGAGCCAGCTAGCAGGGAGTGAGGGGTCCCTCTCCTTCATAGACCTGAGTGGAAAGTCAGGGCAGCCAGGGCCTGCCAGTGGAGCAGTGGTCACAGACTGCAGGTTAGGGGAGGCGCCCAGGGTGCTATGCCTGTGAGCACACACAGTCTATCATGGACTCCTTCCCCAGGCATATCTTGGAGCTACTTATGGATAAATCCAAGTGACTCCTCTTCTGTATTTAATCTTCCTTACTATAAATCAATGTTTGTTTAAAAATAAAGTCAATACAGATATCAATTGTTAAGAAGCAGTGCCATCTCTGGAGTGGAGTGGGACAGGAGAGGTGCTGGCTCATTCCGCGTGTTTGTCATGCATATCAGAATAATGTACGCCTCAGAAAGGCCTATTAAGGCCATTCACTAGATGGGCCCAGCCCAAACGTTGTCTCAGTGTGAGATTAGACATCGGATTTTAGGTACCTTAAAAACAATGATAAATGGCCGGGCGCAGTGGCTCATGCCTGTAACTCCAGCACTTTGGGAGGCTGAGGCAGGATGGTCACTTGAGCCCAGGAGTTCGAGACCAGTGCAGGCAACATAGTGAGACCCTGTCTCTACAAAACCAAAAAAAACCCAGCTCAGAATGGAAGACTGCTGGAGACTCAGGAGGTGCACTGGAAGCTGTGCCCTACACTCACAGGCTGGACCCTGCCTTACTCTCATGTGGTGTCACAGTGACACAAGGCTGGCCTCACGTGAAAGATAAGAGGCTGAGTGCCCACTGCCTCCTCTTGACTGATGTCAGGAACATGTGAGGAAGCAGAGCCAGGAGTCCAGCGATGCTGCAGTAGAGTATAGCAATTAACAGTGCAGGCTTGGGACCCTGGATGAGATACTTAAAGTTTTCAGTGCCTCAGTTTCCCCAGCAATAAGATCAGCTTAATACTATTTGTTGTGAGGATTCGATTAGATAATGGATATAAAGTACTTAGGGTCGTGCCTCAATGGTAGTAAAAATGACTGATATCTAAAATGTTTACATGACTAACATGTGATATGTGTTAGTAATTATTATGATGACTTTTTTGTGCAAAGACTTTGTGACATAGAAAACCTTATAAAAATTCAAGGATTTGCCATGACTGACAGCAATAATGGCCAGGGCTTCACCCACAGCCTCATCTATTTCTTCCTTCCACCCCACTCTGTGAATTTTGGCAGCAAAGCACTTCCACAGCAGCAGGATCACAGGGAAAGAAAGTGCGGAGAATAAGTGCACTCAGCCATTTCTCCTCTCCTTCCCCAATGCCCAGCTCAGAAGATGCCAGGGATGGGCTCTGGCTTATAAATCCTGCCCGTCCTGGGGCACTTCCAGGTGATGGCACACCTGCAGGACCTTTGACCTGGCCAGTTGCCAGGTGAGATGTCTCCCTTTCCTTTCCCCATCTTCAAAAAAGTGTTTCCTACCCTAATTATAATTTGAATAACAATTAAAGCCCATGGCTTACCAGGGCTGCTGCTAACACAGGCAAGTACTTTGGTGTGAATTAGAAAAAGCTGCCCCTTCCTTAAGTCACATTCCTCCCACTTTGTTGGAACAAGATAGTTTACCGTCGTTGTACAGGGCACAGCCTACCTAATTGGTTCTATGTGGCAGCCATGTGGCTTGTATTCATTCTCTGCTCCTCTTTAGGTCCTGAAGCACCTACGGCACCTAAACTTTACCAACAATATGGGGGAGCAGGTGACCTTTGATGAGTGTGGTGACCTGGTGGGGAATTATTCCATCATCAACTGGCACCTCTCCCCAGAGGATGGCTCCATCGTGTTTAAGGAAGTCGGGTATTACAACGTCTATGCCAAGAAGGGAGAAAGACTCTTCATCAACGAGGAGAAAATCCTGTGGAGTGGGTTCTCCAGGGAGGTAGGTGCTGTCCATCAGAAAACCAGATGTCTCCACCAGGGGCAGGAAACCGTGCTGGGCTTTGGGAGGGCCTTTGGTTTCACCACTGGACTTCCAAAATAAAGAGTCCACTTCCCTGAACTCTCTGGCCACTGCAATCTTGGGGCTCCCTGTGAAATCCGTAGTGTTTAGTGTAAAGAGAAGAATCTCCAGAACCTGAGCCCAGTGCCTTCCTACTGTATTGAAACAGTTTCATTTTTCACAAATATGACTCCCTAGCTAGTCATAAAGTTTCCTTGGCTAAAACTTTCCCTAACCAGAGCAAACTATTTAAGCAAATGTAAACATCGGTCAAGTCAGTGGCTCTCAGCTGGGCCAAGGGCAGGGGAGACAAGTTTTAGAGTGGAGGGGACTGCTTTGGGGTTGTCACAATGACCAGGAAGTATTAATGGCCTTCAGCGCTTGGGGTCCAGGGATACTAAGTGTCCAGCCTGCGTGGGACAATCTTACATGACAAAGAATTGTCCCCACCTCAATGACCAGTAACAGCCATTGAAAGACACTGGAGTCCAAAATGGAGCTGGATGTTTTCAACTGAGTCATTCGGTGTTGTCACCACCCTCACAGCCTGGACAGTTCACACAGAGGTAGTTCACTGTCATCCACTGCTGAACTGTAAACCAAAAGGACAATTTATTCTCCTTCTCCAGGAGACCTGTAACAAAGAGGAGGATGCTTGTGTTCCTGAGTATCACTGCATCTGGAAGCCTGTTAATAACCAGAAGCCCACCCCTCAGTCAATTTGCACTTAAGGGAGAGAAACGTGATACACTGGAATGATGACCATTCTGTGATGTTTGTGTCCTAGAATATAGCAGGCTGCTGAGAACCCAGGTCCTCTGTAAGAACACAGATCCTAGACAGGGCATCCTCTTAACTCTCCCAGGAAGCCTGGAAAAGACCCACCACATTTCTATTTGCATTTGACTTCTTATTATCACCTTTGAGTATCTTGACCACTTCTTTTTTATTTTTTATTTTTTTTTTTAGATGAGGTCAGGCTCTCTTGCCTAGGCTGGAGTGCAGTGGCACAATCTCGGCTCACTGCAGCCTCTGCCTCCAAGGTTCAAGCAATTTTCCCACCTCATCCTCCTGAGTAGCTGGGATTACAGGCGCACCACCACGCCCAGCTAATTTTTGTATTTTTAGTAGAGACGGGGTTTCACCATGTTGGCCAGGCTGGTCTCGAACTCCTGACCTCAGGTGATCCACTCTCTTTAGCCTCCCAAAGTGCTCTGGTGACAGACGTGAGCCACCACGCCCAACCATCTTGGACCACTTTTTATAACATAACCAAAGACTCACTTCATCTTCTTATCAAATGCTTCTTAGGTTGGACAGGTTCCTGATGAGATGCTACAATTTCACTGTTACCCAGTATGTAGATGGGTTACCCCTGGGAAGGTCTCCTATAGACAGTGAATCTCATCCACAGTGTGCCATTTTTAATAGCTTCCACCTCAGAGGGTGGGTTCTCAATTATAAGCATGTCATGACCTTTTCCAGATGGAGATTTGGGGGTTCCAGATGTTGTATTCCTCTGTCCACTAATTGTACCATTGTCTAATTTATCACGCATTTTCACTGACTGGAGTCTAAATTGATCAGCTATACTGCCACCTGTTTATCCCTGTTGGATCATCCAGGTTATCTTTCACCCCCATTAATGCATAGAATTGAATTATCTAATGGCACATGTCTCCTCTCCACTGCAGCAGGGAACTATCTCCTGTACAGTTCTCCATAGCCCTAATGTCCTCTCCCAGGCTATGTACATCATTGGCTTAAACACTGATAAATGAATAACAGGGAACTCTCATAAATTCTGTCACTTATGTTCTTGGAATAGTTGACACAGTTACAAGTTAAATCTAATTTTTCCATAGAAACATTACCTCAAACCTAGCACACAGTGGATACTCAACAAATCTTAGGATCTACTCTATTATTTTCTGTACTGTTTGTGGAAATGACCACAAAAATATCATCTATATTTAACTATAAATTATATATTAATGACTTCCCTACATGTTTCACAAAGTTGTTATTGAGATCAAATGAGATCAAGGATGAAAAGTGTATGATAAACTGAATCATACTATTAATATATAAATGCAAAGTATTATTAATATGGCATTATACTTAACTGATGTTCTCAATTTTCTTACAAATGTAGCACTAAATTTAGAGCTAGATAGATCTTTAAAGATCCTTATATTCAAGCTTCCAATTTGAAGTTGATGCCACTGAGGTTTTGGGATGCAAAGGTGACTTGTCAGGCCAAACAGATGGTCAGTATAAAAGCTGAGACTATGTTCTTCCATTTGTTTGTGTCCTCTTTGATTTCACTGAGCAGTGGTTTGTAGTTCTCCTTGAAGAGGTCCTTTACATCCCTTGTAAGTTGGATTCCTAGGTATTTTATTCTTTTTGAAGCAATTGTGAATGGAAGTTCATTCATGATTTGGCTCTCCGTTTGTCTGTTACTGGTGTATAAGAATGCTTGTGATTTTTGCACATTTATTTTGTATCCTGAGACTTTGCTGAAGTTTCTTATCAGCTTAAGGAGATTTTTGGCTGAGACACTGGGGTTTTCTAAATATACAATCATGTCATCTGCAAACAGGGACAATCTGACTTCTTCTTTTCCTAACTGAATACCCTTTATTTCCTTCTCTTGCCTGATTGCCCTAGCCAGAACTTCCAACACTATGTTGAATAGGAGTGGTGAGAGAGGGCATCCCTGTCTTGTGCCAGTTTCCCAAGGGAATTTTTCCAGTTTTTTCCCATTCAGTATGATATTGGCTGTGGGTTTGTCATAAATAGCTCTTATTATTTTGAGATATGTTCCATCAATACCGAATTTATTGAGCGTTTTTAGCATGAAGGGCTGTTGAATTTTGTCAAAGGCCTTTTCTGCATCTATTGAGATAATCATGTGGTTTTTGTCTTTGGTTCTGTTTATATGCTGGATTATGTTTATTGATTTGCATATGTTGAACCAGACTTGCATCCCAGGGATGAAGCCCATGCTCATGGATAGGAAGAATCAGTATCATGAAAATGGCCATACTGCCCAAGGTAATTTATAGATTCAATGCCATCCCCATCAAGCTACCAATGAGTTTCTTCACAGAATTGGAAAAAACTGCTTTAAAGTCCATATGGAACCAAAAAAGAGCCACATTGCCCAGACAATCCTAAGTCAAAAGAACAAAGCTGGAGGCATCACGCTACCTGACTTCAAACTATACTACAAGGCTACAGTAACCAAAACAGCATGGTACTGGTACCAAAACAGAGATATAGACCAATGGAACAGAACCGAGTCCTCAGAAATAATACCACACATCTACAGCCATCTGATCTTTGACAAACCTGAGAAAAACAAGAAATGGGGAAAGGATTCCCTATTTAATAAATGGTGCTGGGAAAATTGGCTAGCCATAAGTAGAAAACTGAAACTGGATCCTTTCCTTACTCCTTATATGAAAATTAATTCAAGATGGATTAGAGACTTAAATGTTAGACCTAATACCATAAAAACCCTAGAAGAAAACCTAGGTAATACCATTCAGGACATAGGCATGGGCAAGGACTTCATGTCTAAAACACCAAAAGTAACGGCAACAAAAGCCAAAATTGACAAATGGGATCTCATTAAACTAAAGAGCTTCTGCACAGCAAAAGAAACTACCATCAGAGTGAACAGGCAACCTACAGAATGGGAGAAAATTTTTGCAATCTACTCATCTGACAAAGGGCTAATATCCAGAACCTACAAAGAACTCAAACAAATTTACAAGAAAAAAACAACCCCATCAAAAAGTGAACAAAGGATATGAACAGACATTTCTCAAAAGAAGACATTCATACAGCCAACAGACACATGAAAAAATGCTCATCATCACTGGCCATCAGAGAAATGCAAATCAAAACCACAATGAGATACCATCTCACACCAGTTAGAATGGCAATCATTAAAAAGTCAGGAAACAACAGGTGCTGGAGAGGATGTGGAGAAATAGGAACACTTTTACACTGTTGGTGGGATTGTAAACTAGTTCAACCATTATGGAAAACAGTATGGCGATTCCTCAAGGATCTAGAACTAGAAGTACCATATGACCCAGCCATCCCATTACTGGGGATATACCCAAAGGATTATAAATCATGCTGCTATAAAGACACAGGCACACGTATATTTATTGCGGCACTATTCACAATAGCAAAGACTTGGAATCAACCCAAATGTCCATCAGTGACAGACTGGATTAAGAAAATGTGGCACATATACACCATGGAATATATATGTAGCCATAAAAAAGGATGAGTTTGTGTCCTTTGTAGGGACATGGATGCAGCTGGAAACCATCATTCTCAGCAAACTATCGCAAGAACAGAAAACCAAACACCGCATGTTCTCACTCATAGGTGGGAACTGAACAATGAGATCCAATGAGATCACTTGGACTCGGGAAGGGGAACATCACACACCGGGGCCTATCATGGGAAGGGGGGAGGGGGGAGGGGGAAGGGATTGCATTGGGAGTTATACCTGATGTAAATGATGAGTTGATGGGTGCTGACGAGTTGACAGGTGCAGCACACCAACATGGCACAAGTATACATATGTAACAAACCTGCACGTTATGCACATGTACCCTAGAACTTAAAGTATAATAATAATAATAAAATAATAAATTAAAAATAAATGAAAAAAAAAAAGCTGAGACTAGACTCCAAGGACCCTAACTTAGACCTCAGTGCTCCATTCCCTACACTACACTACCAATAATTCTTTCCTTGTTTTGCTGCAACAAATAAGAAGTAAAAGAGACACCTTAATTAGGGGCTTGGAATTCAGATGAGCTTCCTTGGCCAGAATTGGACAGGCATCTTTAACAAGACTGTTGAGGAGCCTTGGAGATACTTGACTGCTTTTTGGAAAAATGGATCTTTCTGATGGCTACCTCAGCCCACTCCTGTGGTGATAGGATTTCTCTTTAGCTGATGGTTGCTGAAGGATGCAGTAAGAGGACCCAGATGGAGACATTCTTCTAAGCCTTGACTGGTACAAAGCAGAGTCTGGTGTAGTGAAAAGTGTAGACTTTCAAGACCGACCTCATCGCGAATCTCAGCTCTCCAGTCTCAAGCCATTGTGTGACCTTCAGCTTGTTCCTTAACCATTAACAAGAAGAGAAAAAGAGGCATGGCAGACATTGCTATCAGCCCTCATTATTTATACTCCTCTTTTTCTTTAAAAATAGAACTCTATTTTAGCTGGACATATGACTACCCAGATTCAAGATGACATTTTTCAGCCTTCATTTCTACTAAGTGTGGCCATGTGACTAAGTCCTGGAGAATGGGATGTAAGTGGCAGTGTTGTGGGATGATTCTGGGAACCTTCTTTAAGAAAGTGCTTGCAGGTATCCTTTGCTCTCTTCTTCATCCCTTCCTCTATCTTGCCTCCTGGAAACCAAATGCCACTATCAAGGACTATGAGGCAAAGACAAACATGTCAGAACCACCAGGTAGAAAGAGTCTAGGTGTCCAACATTGTGGAGTGCTATATCACTCTGACCACATCCCTAGACATTTATATGAGACAGAAATACAGTTGTCTTGTTGGAGTTATTATTTTGAAATTGTTGGCACTCACAGCCTAGCAGAAACCAAGAAGGAAAGCTACTAAATTTATTTTGTGATGATAATATAATCTTGATACCAAAAACAGATAGAACAATACAAGCAAAGACAATTATAGGACAATATTCTTTATATATGTAGATGCTCAAATCCTAAATAAAATATCACCAAACATAGACCAGCAATGTATAAAATAAACATCATCTCCTAGTAGAGTTAGCAGTGAATGTACGGGAATGTAATGATAGCCAAACTTACAAAGTTCATAAATGTAGCTTATTACATTAGCAGAATAAAAGATAAAAGTTCTACAATGTCAGTAGACACAGAAAAAGTATCCATTAACATTCAATACCCTCTCAGGTTAAAAACAAAAATTTCATTAATCTAGGAATAGAAGAGAACCTCACTTTACCTTGGTAAAAGATACAGCAACCATCATTCTTTTTTCATTTTATTTCTTTTAAGTTCTGGAGTACATGTGCAGGATGTGCAGGTTTATTACATAGGCAAATGTGTGCCATGGTGGTTTGCTGTACCTGTCAACCTATCACCTGGGTATTAAGCCTAGCATGCACGAGCTCTTTTCCCTAATGCTTTCCACTCCCCCCACCCTTTCCGGACAGGCCCCAGTGTTGTTCTCCACCCTGTGTCCAGTGTTCCCGTTGTTCAGCTCACACTTATAAATGGGAACATGGGGTGTTTGGTTTTCTGTTCCTGCAAAACGTAATTCATCACATAAACAGAACTAAAGACAAAAAGCACATGATTATCTCAATAGACACAGAAAAGGCCTTTGATAAAATTCAACATCCCTTCATGTTAAGAACTAAATAAACTAGGTGTTGAAGGAACATACCTCAAAATAATAAGAGCCATTTATGACAAACCTACAGACAATATTATACAGAATAGGCAAAAGCTGAAAGCATTCCCCTTGAAAACTGGCACAAGACAAGGATGCCCTCTCTCACCACTCTTATTCAACGTAGTATTGGAAGTTCTGGCCAGGGCAATCAGGCAAGAAAAAGAAGTAAAGCATATTCAAATAGGAAGAAAGGACGCAACCATCATTCTTTAATGGGGAAAATTTAGAAGCATTCCTAGTGTGGGTTTGGAAAACAGGGCCTTTAGCTTTCATTCAGTGATTGAATGGGTTGGCAACTTAAGGACTGAGAGCACATCTCTGAGGATACCTTGTCACCATAGTTGAAGATGATTATGTGAGTTGTCCTATTCCCTCCCCTCTCCTCCCCTCCCCTCCCCATCCTTTTCAAAATGTATGCACTTATTTTTCTTGTCTGATTCCATTAGCTAGGACCTCCAGTGCAAAGTTAAAGAGTAGTGGTGATAGTGGACATCCTTGTTTTAAATGGAAATACTTTTAATATTTTCTCTATATGAATGATGTTTACTCTAAGAGGTTTTTTGGTACCCTTTTTCAAGCTAAAGATATTTCTTCCCACTCCTTTTTCACTAAGCTTTTATCAATGGTTTGTGTTGAATTTCATCAAATGCTTTTTATTTATCTGTTGGCGATCATATGATTTTTTTCTCCATTAATTTGTTAATACAGTGAATAATACTTACAGATTTGTCTAACATTAGACTTTTTTGCACTCCTGAGCATAAACCCAACATGGTCATGATACATTTTCTTTCTTAGGTCCTTTGAGTATGTTGTCTAGTGTTTTAGTATTTTTCATCTGTTTTCAAGTAGTAGAAAGTAGTGGCGCTTTTCCCAGATCATCATAGAATCCCATGCGTGTGTGTGTGTATGTGTGCATGCACATGTGTGTGTGTGCATGTATACCCACTTGCCCACAGGCATCTGTCCCTTTCACAGATATCGGAACCAAGGACCTCTGGACCTCCTTTTGCCTGGAATGGGCCCAGCATCTGTCACACTGATTCTTGTGCCCAAACTCCTCCCTCTTACATGTTTTGAAGAGACTGTAGGGTTGGCCCCGGATCCTACAGCTACAGACACTCACCTTTGTGCTGTCTGTCCTCCAGGTGCCCTTCTCCAACTGCAGCCGAGACTGTCTGGCAGGGACCAGGAAAGGGATCATTGAGGGGGAGCCCACCTGCTGCTTTGAGTGTGTGGAGTGTCCTGATGGGGAGTACAGCGATGAGACAGGTAAGGGAACCCCTCTTGGGCACTGTGCAGGGCTTGGTCCACTTTGGAGGCCTGGGGTCAGTGAAGCCCATGGAAGGGCTGGGTTGAGATGGTGCTTTGCACAGTTTCTCATTTAACAAGGGTATGTCTGAGCATCACAAAATGTTGGTCATGGAGGTGGAACAGAAAAAGAAAGTTAAATGTTCTTTTAATACCATGAAAGCTAACAACACCTATTACACATCTTTCTCTTACTTTATACTGCTGGCCAATATATTTCCCTTTTGTTAGAGTTTAGTGGCCCTGAATGGACAAAGTTCTGTCTGCTCCAGACTCCAGAGTTAATAGGCCATGATAGAATTGCCTGCTGGGTGCCTGGCACTGAATTTGCTATCTTATTTGTGCTTTTCCTGTTTCTCAGGTTACTTTTAGGTGGGAATAATAATTAAACCTATCCTATAGAGTTTTGAGAATTAAACGATTAATATTGGTAATGCACATGGTAAGCTCTAGATAAATATTTGTTAAACAAAACTTTGGCATTTTAGAAGTACTCTATAAATATTAACTATAGTTGATATTATTATCTCATGTTATCCTCACCCCAATAATGGCATTATTGCTGCTCCCATTTTACAAATTAGGAAACTAAGGCTCTGAGAGGTTAAGAAACTTGACCAAAGTCACATCACCAGTAAGTAGTATGGCCAGGATTCCATCCAGATCTCTAACTCCAAACACCCTGCTCCTTTCACTGCCCAAAACTGCACACTGCCTGGGAGTTAGCAGAGACTTAGTAAACAGTTGTCAGTTGAATGAGTCTGCAGCCTCCCTCATCGAAAAGCTGTGGATATGGAGTGAGGAAAGCATAGGTCATGTGCGTGGGATACTCTGCCTTGATCTAAAGGAAGTCTGCTCTGGTGTGTCTACAAAGCCCATCCATATATCCAAAATAAATCAGTCTCCATATGAGATGTCAGATATGTTCATTTGCTTCACTAGAATAGCCAGTTTACTGCCCATATGTATCCCACAACATCATGTTGTAAACCTCAAATATTATCCAATAATATTTAAATAAATAAATCAGGTTAAGCTTCAATCATTCTGTGAAGCGTTGATGGACCATGCTAGACCTCTGGTGTGCAGGGCAGCCACCTGTCCAGCAAGGTTGATCATTCCCTGCTATAAACCATCAGCAGGTAGTGTTAAATGAAGCAAGGGCCCCACCCATGTCATGTGCAAAGGGAAAACAAACTAACAATAGAACCATCAGAGTTACATGAAATTAACCATGTTATTAAACATGTTGGGGTTCAGCATATTTTTTGATACTGTAAAAGTCAGAATGTTTTCATCAAAATGAAGAAAATATGTAGTGACCACATTCAAAAAACTATGTATTCCCACCACCACATGTACACTCACACGTTTTAGTCTGTGCCACACAGTAACTCACTCTTCACCGGGACATTTTACAGATGCCAGTGCCTGTAACAAGTGCCCAGATGACTTCTGGTCCAATGAGAACCACACCTCCTGCATTGCCAAGGAGATCGAGTTTCTGTCGTGGACAGAGCCCTTTGGGATTGCACTCACCCTCTTTGCCGTGCTGGGCATTTTCCTGACAGCCTTTGTGCTGGGTGTGTTTATCAAGTTCCGCAACACGCCCATCGTCAAGGCCACGAACCGAGAGCTCTCCTACCTTCTCCTCTTCTCCCTGCTCTGCTGCTTCTCCAGCTCCCTGTTCTTCATTGGGGAGCCCCAGGACTGGACTTGCCGCCTGCGCCAACCGGCCTTTGGCATCAGCTTCGTGCTCTGCATCTCGTGCATCCTGGTGAAAACCAACCGTGTCCTCCTGGTGTTTGAGGCCAAGATCCCCACCAGCTTCCACCGCAAGTGGTGGGGGCTCAACCTGCAGTTTCTGCTGGTTTTCCTCTGCACCTTCATGCAGATTGTCATCTGTGTGATCTGGCTCTACACCGCGCCCCCCTCAAGCTACCGCAACCACGAGCTGGAGGATGAGATCATCTTCATCACGTGCCACGAGGGCTCACTCATGGCCCTGGGCTTCCTGATCGGCTACACCTGCCTGCTGGCTGCCATCTGCTTCTTCTTTGCCTTCAAGTCCCGGAAGCTGCCAGAGAACTTCAATGAAGCCAAGTTCATCACCTTCAGCATGCTCATCTTCTTCATTGTCTGGATCTCCTTCATTCCAGCCTATGCCAGCACCTACGGCAAGTTTGTCTCTGCCGTGGAGGTGATTGCCATCCTGGCAGCCAGCTTTGGCTTGCTGGCGTGCATCTTCTTCAACAAGATCTACATCATTCTCTTCAAGCCATCCCGCAACACCATCGAGGAGGTGCGTTGCAGCACCGCAGCTCACGCTTTCAAGGTGGCTGCCCGGGCCACGCTGCGCCGCAGCAACGTCTCCCGCAAGCGGTCCAGCAGCCTTGGGGGCTCCACTGGATCCACCCCCTCCTCCTCCATCAGCAGCAAGAGCAACAGCGAAGACCCATTCCCACAGCCCGAGAGGCAGAAGCAGCAGCAGCCGCTGGCCCTAACCCAACAAGAGCAGCAGCAGCAGCCCCTGACCCTCCCACAGCAGCAACAATCGCAGCAGCAGCCAAGATGCAAGCAGAAGGTCATCTTCGGCAGTGGCACGGTCACCTTCTCACTGAGCTTCGATGAGCCTCAGAAGAACGCCATGGCCCACAGGAATTCTACACACCAGAACTCCCTGGAGGCCCAGAAAAGCAGCGATACGCTGGCCCGACACCAGGCATTACTCCCGCTGCAGTGCGGGGAAGCGGACTCAGATCTGAGCGTCCAAGAAACAGGTCTGCAAGGACCAGTGGGTGGAGACCACCGGCCAGAGGTGGAGGTCCCTGAAGAGTTGTCCCCAGCACTTGTAGTGTCCAGTTCACAGAGCTTTGTCATCAGCGGTGGAGGAAGCACTGTTACAGAAAATGTACTGCATTCATAAAATGGAGAAGACTGGTCTAGGGAGAATGCAGAGAGGTTTCTTGGGGTCCCAGGGATGAGGAATTGCCCCAGACCCCTTTCCTCTGAGGAAGAAGGGATAATAGACACATCAGATGCCCCAAATTTAGTCACACCAGTTTAAATGACAGTGAATTGACCAATGTTCCCTTTAAAATTAAAGAAGGAAGAACTTTGTGTTTCTGTGGTTGCATTTCAAATCATTGAGATCTCCACGGTCAGATTTGCTGTTCGCCCACATCTAATGTCTCTTCCTCCATTCTGTCCCATCCAACAGCTCAGAGATGAAACTACGGCTTTAAACTACCCTCCAGAGTGTGCAGACTGATGGGACATCAAATTTCTGCCACCACCAGAGCTGAGAGTCTGAAAGACAGAATGACACCAGTCCTGCCCAATGCCTTGACAACCGACTGAACTTTAAATGTTCACAACATAAGGAGAATGTATCTCCTCCTATTTATGAAAACCATATGATATTTGCTCTCCTACCTGCTGCTGCTATTGTGTAACATCCAGAAGGTTTGCACCCCTCCTATACCATATGTCTGGTTCTGTCCAGGCCATGACAGTGATGCCATGTTTAGATTCCAGGATCACAAGAATCACCTCAAATTGTTAGGAAGGGACTGCATAAACCAATGAGCTGTATCTGTAATTAATATTCCTGTATGTAGTTTTATCCTTAGGAAAATGCTTCTGTTGTAATAGTCCATGGACAATATAAACTGGAAAATGTCAGTCTGGTTTCTATAAGGCAGTATTATTGAGCTCTATTTCCCCACCCCACCATCCTCACTCCCATGAGCTGAGCCTTATGTGAGCCCCTTCAGGGACTCAAGGGTCCAGAAGTCCCTCCCATTCCTACCCTAAAGAATTCATGAAGCCAGATCCACCCTGTCCCTGTGCAGAGTAAGCTCCCAACTATTGGCCTGCTAATAGCTGCCAGGGTAGGAAAGCCTGGTTCCAAGAAAGATCCACCCTCAAATGTCAGAGCTATGTTCCCTCCAGCAGTGGTGTTAATACTGCTGGTCACCCAGGCTCTGGAGCCAGAGAGACAGACCAGGGTTAAAGCTCTGTCTTGGTTATTTGCAAGCTGGGTGACTGTAGGCAGGGAACCTTAACCTCTCTAAGCCCCAGCTTCTTCATCTCTAAAATGAGGACAGTAATCATTCTTTCCCCTCAGAGCTCTGATGTGGATTAAATGAGATAATGTATGTAAAGTACTTTAGCCTGGTGCCTAGCACACAATAAGCATTCAATAAATATTAGTTAATATTATTATTACTGATACTATAATAATTATTTTCCCTTCAAATACAAAATGAAACATACATATTAACCATTCAGATTGTACCAGCTAGCCCACTGATCACAATCACTCTCTCTACAATAAGCCCAAGAGCTCTGGGGCCCAACACATGGGGTCAGCCCTAGTAACACTGGCTCATGGTGAGGAAGCCAGAAAGCTGGTCAGCCCCTCAGGCGGCCTGATGCCCTGTCTCTGCAGTGTCAGGGCCTGGACCTCCAGCATCCAGGGAAGACCATCACCTGTCTAGGAGGAAGTTCTCAGATCACTCTCAATGCTACTCTTAAGCTGAAGTCAGACCATTGCAATTAAATACCTGAAGCCTCAAATCGTACAGCTCTTGGTGACTTCTTCCCCTAACCGCTTCCTTCCAAAGGGGCTCCTTTTAGTGATTTGTAGGGCAAATTAGTTGACTTGATATTTGTTAAGATTATGATGAGAAACCATTAGAGGGCACCATGTGGGAGCACAACTGTGAGCAGAAGGTGGTGACTCAGGACGACCCGAGTGAGGTACCTGCTCCCTACCCAGGAAAGGCACCGCCCCCCACCCAGCCTGCGCCCCCGCTGCAGTCATGCCTCTCACAGAGCTGAGTGGGGTTTTATATCTAACATTTTACTTGGTCTTAAAAAAAATGCTGAAAATATGATGGTTTCAGAATAGCTATGAAGGAACAGCCTCAACAGAATGTCACATACTTCTCCCTCCGGGGTTTGACTTCAATGTCCACCTCACCTAAGGAGCTTAAGGAGGAAAACATAGGTTTACAGTGAGCTTTCATTTCACCAAGTGCTTGCAAATAAAGGAGTCTCTCCCAATAGTATTGTCAGAAAGGCAGATACAGCAACACTGTGCCATTTTATACGCAGCAGGTGCAACTCAGCCAAAATCAGGGGTGTGAAATATGAACTTTCATTATTTTTCTAAAACAACTTAATTTCTATCTCAAATTCCCATCCAGCCTAGTGACAGAAACTTCATCTTAGTCAAATCGGGGTTTTCACAGTAACTTCAGTGTTTTCTGAGTCAATTTAGATGTTTGGGGATCAGTTCGGAGGTTGTTCCTTCTCCCTTCCAGGAGGGTTTTTGTAATGTTGGGTGGGCCTCCTCAGTCATCGGCAGCTCCCTCATGACATTGCTGAGAGCAATCTTATGTGGCCTTTGCTGGCGTGCTCTGAGGCATCGTATCCTCATCTGGTCCCATCACGGGATTCATGGTGGTTTTCACGCATGCCTCACTGTCCTAACCAGTCGGTCCCTGTGGGGCCTGCCAGCTCTTGCAGCTACCTCCATGCTCATCCCTGGGGCCCAGAAATCACTGGCAGCCTCACTTCCACATCTACTTGCCTGCTGTCTCCCCATGACAGTACACAGAGCTTATGGAGGCTAACAAAGACTCCAGGGTACCAGAGAAGAAACAGGGTACATGTCTCCAAACCTGAATAGATTTCGTAGTAGGCAGAATAATGGTCACCTGAAGATGCCCACGTCCTAATCTCTAGAACCTATGCCTGTGTTGTTACATAGCAAGGGTGAATTAAAGTACAGTGGAATTAAGATTGCTAGTCAGCTGACCTTGAGATAGGAAGAGGGTCCCAAATTATCCAGGTGGGCCCAGTGGAATCCCAAGGGCCCTTAAATGTGGATGAAGCAGAAGAGTCAGTGTGCGAGCGATACAGTATGAGAAAAACACCACCGGCCAGTGCTGCCTTTGCGTAGGGAAGTGGGCATGAGCTGAGGAAAGCAGGCTGCTTCTAGAAGCTGGCAAATGCCAGAAAACTGATTCTCCCCTAAAACGTCCAGAAAGGAATGCAGCCCTGCCAACACCTTGATTTTAGCCCAGTGACACCCTTGTAGGACTTTTGACCTCCAGATCTGTAAGATAATACATTTGTGTTGTTTTAAGCCATGAAGTTTGCAGTAATTTGTTTCAGCAGCAACAGAAAACAAATACATTTGTATTGTCTTCTCCTTCCCTGAGTTTTAGCAGCCAAGCTTCTATTCCTGTTCTCACTGTGGTCCTCTTCCCTCCACCTAGCTCACTCGTTCTCCTCTAATATTCTATTCCTCCACATCTGCTTGGGAAAGTATAAACCTCATATTCTAAGTCTTTCCTGGCTTTGGCTATAGAAAATACACAGCCATGTTGTCTCATTCCATTATCTGTAAGTAGCAGAAACCTGAAAATGGTAGCTTCAACAAACTAGTGTTTGCTTTTCTCTTGAATAAAGGAAGTCAGGAGGTAAATATATGCTCACCTTTTAATTACTTTTAAAAATATTTCTTAGCTTTTGTTAACAGTGGGCAACTGATTACATTTCTTTTGAAAATTAAAATGAATTATAAAGAGATTTTCACTCAAATGAAAGTGTCCTAGAAGATTTTAAGAATCAAGGTTGGAACTTTAGAGGTGACGATCAACATATAACATCAATACCCTGAAAGTCCCTATGATCGTCACACATTGTCTAATTGCATTAATTTTGATTTGGGGGAAGTTGGGGCTACCCTACCTCTGTCTCCAGAAGTCACATTTCAAGGCAATGTTGTCTGTCGTTTTGCTCTAGTTGAAATCGCATAGCTATGGGCTGGCTCTGCCCAGCCGGAGCTTCCCTTTGCTCATCTGCTGCATTTGAAATCATTATTGCTAGAAAAACAATGGAACATCAATAAGGGCTGCTGGCTAATCACCGGAGGAGGTGGTCCTCATTTGTCTGAGGCTGAGTGGTCATTTTAGGAGTCCACTGGAGACAAGAACCCTCCCAAAGGTGGGTGGAATTGGGGTAGGTGGGAGGAAGTTGCCATAGTGAGATCACAGCCTCTGGGAGATGCTGGTTTTCCTGGCCAAGATCATGGAAAAAATATCAAGACTTGGATGACAACTTTGAGTGACTTTGCTATTATGCAAAGAGTGAGGCAGGGGTCAGGGAAACAACAAGCACAGGGTAGAACCTGTCACAGGAATAAAGATGCATTCCAAGGATCCAAAGAAGAGTTTTAGCCTTGAGAGGAAAAACTCAGCAAGTGGTATGAGAAATGGAGAACCGCTAGGTGAAGGCCAACAGGGCAGGAAGCTGGGCAGAACCAGCACGAAGGTGCATCTGGGAACTGGAGGGACAACTGTGACTCTAGCACCAAGTGGGGCTAGGGGAACCTTCTCCTCTGTTGGGAATAACCACCACATCCGTCCCCTCCCCTGACCCCCGGACAAGAGTGGAGGACACTTGGAGTGGACACAAGCAAGGGTACCCGTTTAAATCAACAGCTGAGGCCAGATGCAGAGGCTCATGCCTGCAATCCCAGCATTTTGGGAGCCTGAGGTGGGAGGATCACTTGAGCCCCAAGAGTTGAAGACCAGCCTGGGCAACACAGCAAAACCCCATCTCTACAAACAATTAAAAAAAAAAAAAAAACAGCTGGACATGGTGGCATGCGCCTATAGTGGCAGATACTCAGGAGGCTGAGGTGGGAGGATCTGCTTGAGCCCAGGAGGTGAAGGCTGCAGAGAGCTGTGATTGCACCACTGCACTCCAGCCTGGGTGACAGAGTAAGACCCTGTCAAAAAAAAAAAAAAAGGAAAAAAAGAAAAGAAAAGAAAAGAAAAAGAGCTTTATTGGAAGAGAGAGGTGAGGTGGGGGAATAATAGAGATACAGCACCAGCTCCCTGCCTCTAAAATGTGGGCACCTGGGTAACTAGATAGCACAGGAAGTTAGAGCAAATAAAAGCAGCAAACCCTGCGACTGAAGTTTCAGCACATGGATGGCAAATATTTTCAAGTTTAGTGAAAATAGGTAAGAGATCAAAGCCCAAGAATAACCCCTGGAGTCATTACAGGATTTGATCCCTCACAAAGGCGTCAGGAAATGTTTTTGGAAGAATGTGATTGTCTTCCTTGATATCAACCCAAAGATGTGGTTATTGTTCAAAATATCCTGATTTTCTTTAAATGTTTTGTTTCTATCTGACCTCTCATTATAAATGAGAAACGTATGAATTATAAACATACACTCATTATAAATGAAGATTGCTTGGTAGTGGACTAATGGATGATTGTTTCTGCTTCTTTAGGATTTTCTAAATTTTTCCCAAGTTTTGTACATTAAGCACAAAATTATAAAAGGAAAATAAAGAATTTAAAATAAACATGTAACCAAATTTTAAACAAATAAGTATATCATATTAGATAGGAATCACCATATTGGGTTAGTCACCCCTCCTACAAATTTTTCTAGAGCTCTAATTAGCTCCCAAGACTTTCATGGGACTTTTAAATTTGTGAACAGGCTGAGGACATAGAATAGTGGAAAGGAGTGAGATTCTAGGCAGTACGACAGATAAGTTACACGTCTTTAGATGAGGCAGTTAAGCTTTCTTTGTCTCAGTTTCCACTATGAAAAGTACATAGGCCAGGCATGGTAGCTCACACCTCTAATCCCAGCACTTTAGGAGGCCAAGGCGGGTGGATCATTTGAGGTCAAGAGTTTGAGACAAGCCTGGGCAACACGGTGAAACCTCATCTCTACAAAAAATACAAAAAAATTAGCTGGGCATGGAGGCGTGCACCTGTAATCCCAGCTACTTGGGAGGCTGAGGTGGAAGGCTTCCTTGAGTCCAGGAGGCAGAGGCTGCAATGAAGCAAGATAGAGCCACTGCACTCCAGCCTGGGCAACAGAGTCAGACCTTGTCTCAAAAAAAGAAAAGTAGATAGACTATTACCTGCCATAATTACCAACTACGGTTGTTTGCCAAATAAAACAAGTGATTTGAAAGGGACTTCAGGAATATAGGCAAAATATAAATAATTATTAAAACCATGGGTGACTGAAGTTTAGCGGGTTTGCTTTTGAAATCTTGGGAAGTGCCATGGAATGTAATGATTTCTTCTGTCAGCTTTCTTAGTTGGAGGCAATAGAATTCACTCTAACTAGTTCAAGCAGAAAGGTACTTGTTATATGGTATTAGGAAGCTTATAACATTTTGGGAGGCTCAGTGATCCAAATTTAGTTGCTATACAATCAGGATCAATTCACCTAGGAGAAATGCCTAATCCCTCTATGAGGGTGTTCTGGAAAAAGCTTCATAACCTCCCCTGCCTTCCACTTAGCACCAAGACACACAGAACTAGACACTGGAACCTTCACTGCAGCTGGAGGAACCAAATCCCTCTGCCTGTGCTTGGCCCCACTCATAAGAACTTTCCAAGTCTCACATCAGCCACATGCAGAGCCCTGGCTGTCAGGGAGTCTGGAAATGTAGCATTTGCTTCCCAGCCTCTATAGTGGAGGAAGACCTGCTAGAAGAAGGTCAGAGTGGCTACTGAACAAGCCCGTCCACAGTGTCTACCACCCCAAAACAAAGATTTTTAAGATCAAACACAACATGAAAAACACACACTCTTAAGAAAAATATAAGCAAAATATGATTTATTTTCATCTCCACAGCTGTGGTAGATCCACAAGATGCTGTGCTGGAGACTGAACTACACCTGGCATTTTACCATGAGGGAGAGAACCTGCTGGCAGAGGAGATGAAGAGAGAGCAGGAACATGCACTGCAGGAGATTAGTACTACTTGTCTTTTTAAATAACATGCATATGTTTGTATGTGTGTCTTTGTGTGTGTGTTGTATGGTAACCTCACCTGATAGCAATAAGTTAATAAGAAATGAGGGTTCCCAGATGGAGGTTGCTGGGGGCAGAGTGCTAAGTGAAAATGCTATGTGAACGGCATGCTTTTTTTTTTTTTTTTTTTTTTTTTTTGAGACGGAGTCTCGCTCTGCCGCCCAGGCTGGAGTGCAGTGGCCAGATCTCGGCTCACTGCAAGCTCCACATCCCAGGTTCACGCCATTCTCCTGCCTCAGCCTCCCGAGTAGCTGGGACTACAGGCGCCCGCCACCTCACCCGGCTAGTTTTTTGTATTTTTTAGTAGAGACGGGGTTTCACCGTGTCAGCCAGGATGGTCTCGATCTCCTGACCTCATGATCCGCCCGTCTCGGCCTCCCAAAGTGCTGGGATTACAGGCTTGAGCCACCGCGCCCGGCCAACGGCATGCTTTTTACAAGAGGTTGAGGTTCTCCCATCCAGTCCACCACCACTGGACTGCCCTGTATTTAAGTCCCCTTCAGTAAACCCTACGCCTCCTTTGCTGACTCCAAGTCTCTTCTTCAGCCTCTTGAACCCGGTGCCATCCCTACTGCAGTTAATCCGGGTCCAGTACAAGAAGTGTCTATTTAATAGCCTGGAGAAAATGCATAATCATTTAAAAGTGATTATGTCGGGTGTTAGAATTATTAGTGATTTGTATTTTCTTTGTAATATTTTTCTGGGCTTTTTTTCCTTAATTTCCTTCCATGAGCATAATGTATCATAAAACAAGAAAAATCTGTCACTTGGGTTCTCAGATAGGACAATATTATGGATATGTTTTTGGTTTGTTCATTTGTTTAAGTTTTTATTTGGACATAATTTCAAATTTACAGAAAATTTGCCAAAGTAAAAGTAGTACAAAGAACACTTGAATCCCCACTACCCAGATTCACTTACCGTTTACATTTTAACCCATTTGCTTTGTCCTTTGTGCCATGGTCATTTAATAAAATATGATGCACATGAAGTATTTATGGATGAAATCATATGATGTCTGGGATTTACCTTAAAATACTGGAATGGGGAGGAAAAAAGGAATAAGGGAGAAAGATAAGACAGGAAGAGCAGAAAATTATGGTCATTGAAGCTGGGTGACAGGTAAGGGAATGCTCATTTTTCTATTTTATTTTTTTTTTAGTTTTAATTTTTTTCCATAATAAAAAATGTTAAAAAGCAGTGGAAGGATAAAAAATACTATTAGTCAAAAAAAAAAAATGACACAAAAGAATTTCACTGATTTGACTGGTTCAATTAGTTGTAAGAAAAGTTTGTCAAACACTCACAAAAAAGAGAACCTGAAAGTCTGCCAGGCAGCTAAAATTGTCATTGAAAAGCAAAAAATTTAAAATCAAATTAAGACTTTCACAACAAGGTTAAAAAGTAATTTTTAGGACTATATCAGAAAGGCCTTCCTGGAGCTTGATGAAAAACAAGTCCCCTGGATCTTCTAACATTTCATCCATTTATGATCTTGTCCTTAGATGAACCAACTCTTGACTGGTTCACATTTTTTATTGTCTTCTGGCAAAATGTTAAAAATTTCTTAACAGATCCTTCTTAGCCTTTGTGCCAGAAATTTCTCTTTTATGTACAGTCCCAAGTAAATAATCCAACAGGTAGCAAAATTAATTAGTTACCAACATGTTCAGGCTAAAAGAGAACCTGTCTGGGCCGTATTGAGGGGAGGCCTGCTTTGAGGGGAGCACTGGCAAGTGCTGAGGTCCTGTGAGAAAAATAGGAGAGGATCCAGCCCCCAACACCCAGGCTAAGGAAATTATGCTATAATTCCATGTCAGGGAACCTATAGACATTAGCTATGCAAACATGTGGACTATGTCAAAACACAATCAAGTTCTAGAAATAATGCTTAGGGAAGAACGGGACACAGAATAGGATGTCCACACGGGATAACATGAATACAATTTCACTGGAAAGCAAAATGAGGGAATAGGATGGAGGAGATTGAGTTTATTGTTCATTTGCTTTTCTTTTGTAAAGTTACATAACTTTGCTGTAAAAAAGAAGGAGAGAGGGAAGGAGGGAAGAAAAGAAGGGAGGATGGAAGAAAGCCTTATATGAGATCTGAGATATATATTTTAACTGTGATTTAAGGGCTAATAAAGCCAAGATTCTAGGAGACAGGAGATTAGAGGAAGTCAGTTTTGGGCTCTTGAGGTAAATCCAGCAGAATTATTGATTGGATAGGCTATGGAGAGTGCTAATTCATTTCCCACACTGTGATCAATATTAGGTGACCTGTGATAAGGTGGAAGACAAAACATTCAAAGAATAATTTTTTAACATCACTTTGTTTTGCAACCAAATACAAAACAGACAAAACGTTATTAGCATTGCTCAGTGTCTCCTCTTTCTGTGCCTCATCATCCTCCTCCAGCTCCCGCCATGCTAATGAAGGCCCCAGACATCTCCAGCCTGGACCATCACAACTGTCACAATCTTATTGAGCAAGCAAAGCTCTTGGGATAGAATCCTAAAGTAACTTCATTTTTGTACAATTTCATGTGATAGTCAAAACTCCGAACACAGTTTCATTTGGGCCTCCTCCCCTTCCTCAGCTCAGGCCTCCTGCAGATGAACAAACCTGTAGTCAGAGAAGAGGGTGTCGTTAGCCATTTCCCCCTTCACCCCATTTGTGCCGTGCCCTTTCCTCTGTGCACACATGGTTAACCCCTCCGAAACCGGGGCACAGGGAGGAAGGAAAGTAAGTTACAGCTGACTTTTTTGCTTGTGGGTACTCTCATGTGTTCTTCGGAGCCTTCTTCCATTGCTGGAAACCTGTCTCCTCCAGGTTCCTTAATGGGGGTGATACACTCTCCACACCCGGAAGCATCCTCTGATACGTCTAGTTTCTGTTTGCCCCTCCAGGTATCCCTCTTGACCGGGACCTAAGAACATGTAGAAGAATAAACTCTAAAATCCTATTGCCCTGGGGTTCTTTTCCAGGAAGCAAGGGCCACCAGACAGAATAAATGACACAATGCAGATACACAGAAATACTCCATTTACTTCCCCTGACAGCCACTTCCATGGAAGATTCAACACAGCTGAAATGCCCAAAAATGTTCTTGAGTTCACAGGTGTGAATAATAACAGGTACAAAGACTCTTTCCTTTGACTAAAACTTTAGTCAAGCTCCTCTGAGTGTTCCTCTTAACGAGGCCCAACCTTGGGCTTCCCTTTCTGTCCTTATTGAATCTAATGTGAGCAAGAATCCTGTTAAGTCAGGTTAGGAAATCCCCTACTCTAGGTATCTGACCACCCTCAATATCTTATCACCCTGGCCTGCCTGCAGCAAGAATCCTATCAAGTTAGTTTAGCCAGACACCCCTTATCCTTGATGTTTCCTCTTAGTCATTTTCCACCCACTGTCACCACCCTGCTCCTCGGCTACAAACCCCCACTTGTCCTGGTTGGGGTCAGAGTTAAGTCTGATTGGCAAGACCTGTTGCAGTGGTTCCTACACCTATTGCCTGATCCCCAGTAAAACCTGCCTGACCATCTTAACTAGTGCTTGGGTAATATTTTTTTTTAACAACTGTTATTTCAAATTCAAAATCATGCCCTCAAGATCACTTCCTTGCTCCCAAGCCCCCTCCCAAACTCCTTCCAGACATTCTCCTAAGGTGGGAGCTGTGGCTTTTTTCATTATAATATCCTTAAGGAGTTGGCCACGTAATCAGGACACCCAAGAGTAGAGATTTCAAAGTTCAACTGAATCCCTCAACACATTTGGTTTTGACTTTAGCTATTTTCTTGGCTCAACTGCCTGTTCTGTTATATATTCAAGATTCTGTAGTTTCTTCCTTCCTATCTTATCTGACTCCCCCCAGTAAGTCATCTAAAACCACTAACTTAAAACATTTCACTTCTGTTAACTAAAACCTCATAGTTCACCTTTCCCAATAAACTAGACTTTCCTACTTGATCAACAATATTCAATGATTTTCATTTGCCACTTCAGAAAAACCCCACCAACATTAATGAGACACATTCTATTGCATTTAATGAGACATCAATGAGTGTGATCTGGAGAAAATACTTATTTAAGCCAGAAACAAAAATTTTGATCTGGAGAAAATATTTATTTGAGCCAGAAACAAAAATTTCTTTGCAACATTGGCAGTTATAGAAATTATCATAACAAGAGTCAACCCCACAGAGCCTTGTGGGCTTTGAAAGGATCTAAGACCACAGCAGAGACTCACCTTTTAGTAAAGCATTAAGTCTTGACACCACATGAGTTTGGACATTGATGCATGATCCTCCTGGATTTGATTTGAGCAGATAATCCACAAAAGGTGTGTATGCCTCTCCTAAGTTTTTGGATTCTTTCACTGTACCTTGAAGTGATAAAAGAAGGCAAGTAGAATTTAGGATATCAAGCTGAAGTTAATAGTAAGATTCAAGTGATTTGGATTCTCTAATTATAGTCAAAGAAAACACTCAGTTTCCTCAATAAAAGTAGCAAGTAAAACGATCTGACTTCCGATATATCAGATACACAAATTAGCACTATCCTCCAGAACCAAACTGTGCATCCACCTGATTATAAGAATCTCATTCTAAATCCCAGCACTTTGGGAGGCTGAGGTGGGCAGATCACGAGGTCAGAAGATCAAGACCATCCTGGCTAACAATGTGAAGCCCCATCTCCACATTAAAAAAAAGTTAGCCGGGCGTGGTGGCGGGTACCCGTAGTCCCAGCTACTTGAGAGGCTGAGGCAGGAGAATGGCGTGAACCTGGAAGGCGGAGCTTGCAGTGAGCCGAGATTGCGCCACTGCACTCCAGCCTGGGCGACAGAGCAAGACTCCATCTCAAAAAAAAAAGGAATGCCATTTTATAACAAAAATCCTGTTAATGCCTCTTTTATTAAACTCTCTTGAACAGGATTCAATATAGGATCACCTTTTACCAAATTCCAGTGCATAACAAACAAACATCTCAGGTGGCAGTGTACTAAAGGATTCTTGCTATTAACTCACAGTAAAATCTTTTTCAGGTCGCTTACTGTGGTAGGCAGAATAATGGCCCCCAAATATGTCTATGTCCTAATGCCTGGAACCTGTAAATATGTTCTGTGGCAAAGGGGAATTAGGTTGCACATGGAATTATGATCACTAATCAGATGACCTTGAGATAGGAAAAGTATTCAGGTGGGCTGGATCACAAGGGTCCTTATAAGTGGAAGAGGGAGGCAGGAGAGTCACGGTCAGAGTCAGAGAGAGATTTGAAGATGGTGGAAGTGACGAGAAGCCAAGGAACACAGGTGGCCTCTGAAAGCTAGAAAAAGCAAGGAGCAGATTTTCCCTTAGACTTTCCAGAAAGAAAGCCAGTACCTTTAACCCAGTGAGATCTGTTCTGGACTTCCAACCTCCAGAACTATAAGGTAACAAAGTTGTGTTGTTTTAAGCCACTAATTGGCAGTAATCTGTTACAACAGCAACAGAACAAACACCATCACACTTGCCCTTTCTGGGCCTCAGTTTTCTAATGTGTCCACTGGGGGAGGCAGGGGTGGTTCCGCTCTGACATTCTATGATTGCGAGTCTTGCTGAACCATGAAAGAATCAGTTCTTTCTCAGACCACAAAGATTTTGTGGGTTCAAACCACTGCAACTTCTGAAAACTTTCACATGGTAATAGGAATTGGTTGTCATAAAATTAATTTGACAATATGATTTTAGGATTAAATGACACTACAGAGAAAAATCAGACAAATCCAAAATACTGAAATTCTATAGGGCAACTGTTCTGGTCTCATCAAAAGGTCAATATCTATATCTATGTCTACACATATATATATACACACACACATATACATATATATGGCATTTCTAATATACAAGTCTAAAGAGATATAGCAACCAAATGTAATTATAACATTTGAATTAAAGACAAATTTGGGAAATGTGAATTTGAACAGATTTTTAGATAAAGTTGAGGAAGTATTGTTAGTTTTCCTAGGGGTGATAATGTGGTTATGTAACAAAATGTCCTTATATTTAGGGGATGAATGCCAAACAGTTTTGAGGTAACTGGTCACAATATCTGCAACTCAATTTTAAATGTTTTATACAAAAAAATAGACACAGATACATGTTAAAATATATGGCAAGATGCTCATAGTTGTTTAATCTGAGTGGTGATACAGAGGTGTTTGCTACACTGTTTCTGAATGTTTAGAAATTTTGTAATAAAAAGTTGGGGGATTTGTTTTTAAAACCTGTTTACGAATGTTTGGTAAACTTTTGCTCAGAAACTTTACATTTTGGCTTCAAGATGCTCCCTTTGTACAGAACTTTCTAAAACTATTTGTAGCAACTCAGATTTGTGGCAGGATAACTACCACCTTATGTAAAATAGTTTAGATAAGTTTCCAGTCAAAAAGCTCATGGGAAAAAAAGTGATGTTCTTCTATGAATCAGTGGGAAATTACTGCCCTCTCATTGAAGAAAGACTCACTTAGTGGAATGGGGATTTTTAGTCTGAGCAGGTCAGAGATTTTCATTTCTTGATTTTGCCAACAGAAGGGATAAAAGTGAAACTCTGAATATTATAAATAGGAAATTATTGCCAAGTAAAAGAAGGCAGGCACAAAAATTATTCCCTAAACACCAACATCCTACAACCAGTAGCAGAAGGAGACTGCAAGAAATTTGTGCTTCTAAGTCTGACTAAGGTCCCAGAGCTGTGCCAGTCATTTCCTACTGACATACAAGAGAACATCAGAGAAAAAATTAAACAGTATCATTCTAGTAAACCCAGAGAAAAGAACAGGATTAGCTAGAGATAGAATGAAAACTACTTTTATATACTTTGCCTTTTTGACTTTGGAAAATATGACTAGTCAATACTGATTTCTATTTATATTAAAATAATACTTAATAGTAATATATTAGATATTAAGTATTAAAATAAGTAATATAAATACATTAGATATTAAGTATTAAAATAATACTTAATAATTAAAAGTTTTTATTAAAATAGTTAATGTTTTTAATTTTTATTTGAAAATATATAGTTTAAATCTACAATGGAATTCATACAGAAAATTATAATTTGATCATATTGTGGATGACAGAGCCAAGATATCTGCTACCACCTGGTGGAATATAACTGAATTGCAGTAAAAGCCTGAGGTGAGAGGGTAGGAGAGATTGTCAACATCTAGTTTAACTTAAAGTATAATAATAATAAATAAATTTAAAAAAAAAAAAAAGAACTTCCACCGGCCGGGCGCGCCAGGCGCGGTGGCTCCAGCCTGTAATCCCAGGTTGGGAGGCCGAGACGAGCGGATCACGAGGTCAGGAGATCAAGACCATCCTGGCTACGCCGTCGCTACTAAAAAATACAAAAAACTTGCCGGGCGAGGTGGCAGGCGCCTGTAGTCCCAGCTACTCAGGCGCCTGAGGCAGAAGAATGGCGTAAATCCGGGAGGCGGAGCTTGCCTGTAGTTCCAGCTACTCAAGACGCTGAGGCAGGAGAATGGCTTAAACCCGGTAGGCGGAGCTTGCAGTGAGCTGAGATCCAGCCACTGCACTCCAGCCTGGACTACAGAGCGAGACTGCCTCTCAAAAAATAAATAAATAAAATAAATCCCACCTAGGCCAGGTGCAGTGGCTCATGCCTGTAATCTCAACACTTTGGGAGGCCGACTTGGGCAGATCACCAGGAGTTCGAGACCCACCTGGCCAACATGGTGAAACCCCGTTTCTACTTAAAAAAAAAAAAAAAAAAAAAAATCAAAAAAATTAGCCGCACGTGGTGGCAGGTGCTTGTAATCCCAGCTACTCAGGAAGCTGAGGCAGGAGAATTGCTTGAACCTGGGAGGCGGAGGTTGCAGTGAGCCGAGATTGCACCACTGCACTCTAGCCTGGGCGACAGAGTGAGATTCCATCTCAAAAATAAATAAATAAAAATCCCACCTAAGTCTTCATTCCAGAACTTCTATTTCTTATATTGATGCACAAAATTTGACTTCTTCCATTATGGTTACCAAATATATCCAGTTTATTGAACACTGTGGGCTACAAACTCATATAGTTTTACTTTCCTCCAGTTACTGCCTTTGACCAGGCTTTGCCAAATCTTTCTTCCCATCCCTTACCAGAATTTTGGGTAGACTCTATATCTTTCTAGTAATTTTCACTTATTAAAAAGTCTTGTCTAGTTTAAAACTTGAGCTTTTGAGACTGAGTCTCGCTCTGTCACCCAGGCTGCAGTGCAGTTGCATGATCTTGGCTCACAGCAACCTCTGCCTCCAGAGTTCAAGTAATTCAACCTCCCAAATAGCTGGGATTACAGGGGTGTGCCACGACACCCCACTACCCGCTAATTTTTCTTTTTCTTTTTTCTTTTTTTTTTTTTTTTTTAGTAGAGATGAGTTTTTGCCATGTTTCCTAGGTTGGTCTCAAACTTCTGGACTCAAGCAATCCTCCCCGCCCCCCGTCTGCCTTGGTCTCCCAATGTGCTGGGATTACAAGGTGTGAGCCACGATGCCCAACCAAAACTTGAGTTTCTAATCCAATTTAAGGCTCACATTTTATCCTCCCCATCACCCCATCAAGAAAACTTTGTCTTAAGAGACTTAAGTGAGAAATGGCCAGGGTCTGTTTTTTCACTCATACTCACTTCCTTTTTCTGGGTCTGAAAGATGGATGTGTCTCTAATTTGTGTGGCCCCTTTTATAGTCCTCTCTTGGCTGCCTTTGCTTCTCTGGCTAAGACTGACAGGTTGCTAACATCAAATGACCAAGTAACATACACAGCAGCCAACTGTTCACAAAGACAGGTCGTTGGCTTTACCCCTGCCTATGTACACAAAGAGTCAGAAACAAAGAAAGACCTGGTTGTTTGCTCAAGTTTCTGGCCATCTAAAGAGTGAGCCCGAGTCCTCAGGCCTCCTTGTTAGTTGGTCCCAGTTCCCTTTCTTAACAGTTTTTGTGGTAAGTAAATATAGATCATATGAGTAAAGATAATAGGCAAAATAGAATAATGTTATTTGAAATCAATTATTTGGCTCTGATATAAAAAAGACAAAACTAAACACTATTAACTTAGACAATTTATTTTAAAAGCATTATCCCAATAATGTATGTCATTAATGTACATCATTAGTAACTGAACCAACAAAATTTTAGAAAGTTTTTTTTGAGAATATAAAAATAGCCCATAGTTCTGTATGCCATTCCCTATTAAAAGGAACCAGGACTTCCTCAAGAAATGATTGATTGCATGGCTGTGGTAGGAAATATACAAGCTGAATCTATGATATATTATTGTGCCAACAAACAAAGAAGCTATCAAAGTCCACTGTAATTATATCAAAAAGACATAAGAG